AAACGCTTTTATCCTGGCTGAAAAACACATTTTGACAACTTCTGCACAGTGAGGCTAAGAGCTGACTCAGTGTGCTCTTCTGAGCCAAGCAGTTACATTGGGTGCTTAAGGTTGCAAAAACACGTTTATCTCGGCTGATAAAACACATTTTGACAAAATGTGCTGTTCCTGCCCCAGCAGTTACATTGGAGTGCCAAAAGTTGCAAAATTGCATTTATCTTGGCTGAAAAACACGTTTTGACAACTTCTGCACAGTGGGGCTAAAAGCTGACTCTGTGTGCTATTCTGAGCCCAGCAGTTACATTTAGAGTCCAAAATTTGCAAGAACATGTTGATTTTGGCTGAAAAACATGTTCTGACATCTTCTGCACACTGGGGTTAAGAGCTGACTCAGTATGCTATTCTGAGTCCAGCAGTTACATTGGGATTCCAAATTTTGATAAAATGCGTTTATTTCGGCTGAAAAACACATTTTGAAAAACGAGTTCTTCCTGCCCCAGCAGTTACATTGGAGTGCCAAAAGTTGCAAAATTGCGTTTATCTCGGCTGAAAAACACGTTTTGACAACTTCTGCACAGTGGGGCTAAGAATTGGCTCAGTGTGCTCTTCTGGCCCCAGTAGTTACATAGGGATTCTCAATTTTTCAAAAACATGTTTTTCTTGGCTTTGACAACTTCTGCACAGTGTGGTGTATTCAGACAATCCTCTCTGTCCCACACATTCAGCTCACAGAAGGACGCACTGGTGTATTCAGACAATGTCCTCTGTAGAACACCGGTCAACTCACACAGGAGATACTGGTGTATTCAGACAATCTCCTCTGTGCCACACCGGTCACCTCACAAAGGGACACCCTGGTGTATTCGGACAATGCCCTCTTTGCCACAAACCAGTAACCTCACACAATGAGACACTGGTGTATTCAGACAATCCTCTCTGTGCCATACACCATTCACTTCACACAGGGAAATACCTGTGTATTCAGACAATCCCCCCTGTACCACACAGGTCAACTCACATAGGGACACACTGGTGTATTTAGACAATCCCCTTTGTTCCACGCCTGTCACCTCACAGAGAGAGACACTGGTCTATTCAGGGGACCATGTTAATACACCAGCGTCTCTATGTGTGAGGGTACCGGTGTGGTAAAGAAGGGATTGTCTGAATACACCAGTGTTTCCCGGGGTGAGGTGACCAGTGTGTGGAATAGAGGGAATTGTCTGAATACACCAGTGTGTCCCTATTTGAGGTGACAGGTGTGGTACAGAGGTGATTGTCTGAATACACCAATGTCTCCCTGTGTGAGGTGACTGGTGTGGTACAGTGGAGATTGTCCGAATACACCAGTGTCTCCCTGTGTGAGGTGACCAGTGTGGCACAGAATGGATTGTTCGAATACATCAAAATCTCCCTGTGTGAGGTGACCGGTATGGCACAGAAGGGATTTTCCGAATACACCAGTATGCCTGTGTGAGGTTACCGCTGTGGCACAGAGGGGATCGGCTGAATACACCATTGTTTCCCAATGTGAGGTTACCGGTGTGTGGTAGAGAGGGGATAGTCCGAATACACTACTGTGTCCCTCTGTGAGGTGACTGGTGTGGAAATTAGGGGATTGTCAGTATACACCAGTGTTTCCCTGTGTGAGGTGACCATTGTGTGGTACAGAGGGGATTGTCCGAATACTACAGTGTGTCCTATTGTGAGATGACTGGTGTGGTACAAAGGGGAACTGTCTGAATACACCAGTGTGTCCTTCTATGAGGTGATCAGTGTGGTACAGAGGGGATTGTCTAAATACACCAGTGTCTTACTATGTGACGTTACCGGTGTGTGGCACACAGAGGATTGTCTGAATATAATAGTGTTTCCCTGTGTGATGTGACTTGTGTGTGGAATAGAGGGGATTGTCTGAATACACCAGTGTATCTCTATGTGTGGTGACCGGTGTGATACAGAGGGGATAGTCTGAATATGCCAGTGTCTCGCAGTATGAGGTGACCGCTGTGGCACAGAGCGGATTGTCCGAATTCCCCTGTCACTGTGAGTCACACAGAGACAAACTGCTGTATTCAGACAATCCCCTCTGCACCACACTCTGATCACCTCACATCTTACAAAGGGAGAAAATTATGTATTTAGACATTGTTCTCTTCACACCGGTCACCTCACACTGGGACACATTGGTATATTCAGACAATCCCCTTTCTAACACACCGGTCACCTCACAC